ATTTTGATTTAATGAACTAAACGTTCACCAAAAAACTTTAGTGAGAAAAATCGAAAAAACGAACTACAAACATGTTAACGCCAAACATTCGGTAGAATTTATAGAATATTGTAAAATATTACCTAAATAAGGTTGAAATAAAAACACTTGATAAAAACAGCAAAAAATTATTTAAAATTTGAACCGAATATAATTGCGCAGCTTCATGTTTGGAGACTGTTTAGAGTTCATTCGGTTTAAAAGTTGTCACAGCGGGAATATCACCGCAGTTCTCTTGAGCTTGTTGTTGGAGTTTGTACAAGTTCATCGCAGAACTATTTTTTGTGGATGGATGGATGGATGGATGGATGGATGGATGGATGGATGGATGGATGGATGGATGGATGGATGGATGGATGGATGGATGGATGGATGGATGGATGGATGGATGAGTATATTGTGGTTTATCAATTTTTTTATTTTATATAATTTAAAGAAAGAACGAATTAACTGAATTCAATCGTTGATAATAAGAAAGCAAAACTAATAATTTTGTGCACCAAGAGGATGTAAGCAGCTGCAGAGACCTCAAAATAAATAAATTCAATAATAATAAGTGCCCACAAATGCGCGATGTTCGCATGGAAGGCATAAATTTAGCCGGGATAAATTTATAGAAGTGTCTGTCGCCAATTGAATTTACGAGCAAACGAACTAACGTGTTTCATTGCACGTATAAATGACGCTCTCAAGCACGTTGGCTGTGCACGTCTGCAGCCGTGCGTGTTCGTTTTGTTTGAATTTATATCTAGATACAGGCTCCCGTGTATGTGGTTTTTCTGGATATACACATTTTCCAAGTGTGAACGATTTAATTTGTGGCGATCTCTTACCAGTAGCAATTTTCTGGTTGGTTGAGTTATTTGATGCATCGTTCATTCCTCATGCCTATTTGTGGGTCACGTCTGCATTATCTCTCACTGCGAGTACTACGCGACACGAGGACACTTGCAATTAACAACTTCTGCTGTAGTCTAGGAAATTATTTTTTTTACTATGTATACTTTGATTAATTTTGTGTCAAGTGTCAAAATTTCCAATCAGATTAAATGATCGGTGCTTGCCAAAGCTACAAAATTTTTATCTAATTTCTTCACTTTGTCGATGCACATTTTTTTTAAAGTGAATGATATTTGTAAAAGAAATCTTACTTTTAAATATGAAATAGAAACATTTTTTATGATTTATAGGGCATTTATTTCACAAGTGTATCGCTCTATTCATGAAATTTTTACAGAAATTAAACTATAGCACTTGAACTTAACGCTGACTTAGAAGCATTAGCGTTATTATAACCCTCTACACCAACCGCAATCATCTGCCAGTCAATGACTGTCCATATAAAATATAACCAATGTGTAACCCCAGTGCAGCTCTTGCTTGTTGCTTATAAATATTTAAGACTTACAGTCACAGTCCAAAGGTTCAGAGTTGTTTATTTTATATACATCTCAATAGTGTTATGCCGGTGATAGTATGTTACTTTTTGATATCACTTTAGCTCAGCTAATGTAAAACTCTCTGAAACCCAAATGTGTCGGCAAGTTCGCTCAGTCAATAAAAGTGTCTGGTTCGAATACTGTCTTTCCAAAACACTTAAACTATCAATCACCAAGCGTATACGATGCGGGGCTCGTTCCTGCATACATGCTGTGTATGTATGCTTGTCGTGTAGTCTGGAGTCTGGATGGTAGGTACAGCCTTTGTGACGAAAAAGTTTAATTATAAGTATAGAATGACATGTAAGCGGTTTAACGTTTGACAGACCTAGCTGTATTGTTAGGAACATTAAAAATGTTTCCACTACGAATGAACAACACGTGGATTTCCTTAAACACAATTCAATGCAGGTGTGTGGTTACATTCCATTCAAAACTTTTCATTTGTTTTATATTGTTTTATTTTAAATTTTTAATTGAGTTGTTCTAAGGCTCAGCCAATCTCACAGAACTTTGTCCCACGATTAGTTAAAACTAATCATTATCTCGAAACACACGAATAATCTTCTAGCTAATGTTTAAATTTTATAAATGAAAAAATGTATATCTTTTATTTTGTTTATAGCGAAAATTTAAAAAATTGAAGTAATTCGAGAGAAGATGCCGGTGTGCTGATAAATTTATTCATGCGTCGACAGATGGCGACTGCAAGAAACTTGGTGATGGAGCTTATTCATGAAACGTGATGGTGTGCAATCTATCCTAATTATTAATTATTGTTTTTAATCGGTATTATGTTTGAATCTGAGAGCATTTAAGGTGTTCAGTACAACTTTTTATCACTCACTTCTCATATTAAAAGTTCAGGAACATAAATTTTACTTAAATAAGATATTAGCAATAGAAGTGTTGATTGATGCAATGTGTTGCAACTGCGTGCATGTGAGAGCTGCCAGAACATTTCTGAAATAATAAATTAAGCGTCTGACATATCTTGAACTGAACTGCACTGAACTTCTTTTTAAGTATAGCTCAGAAATACATGACATAAACTTTGAAACTCATTTAATTTCGCTTTATAACATTTGTAGCATAAAATATGAAGGTCTTCCATCTCGACCACCACCGGTAGTCTCCGTTGACAACGAACACGAGATTTTCTGTCTAAAATATAAAATAATGGAAAAAAACTTTGCTAAATGGAAGCCAGCAAGATGGATGGTGTAGAGTTGATGGCTATTGTAAAAAAAGATTTTACGTACAGTCATAAATTTATTCAAGCGTCCTTCAAGTTCTCTTTTATTTGCGCACGACTTCTAGTCAATAAAGAAGGAAATCAATACATTTTGAAACATTTGTTCCCTCCTTTGTACAGCTTCTGCTATTTGAGTGAGAATGAAACGTAATTAATTTATTAAAATAACTTGATTGGACCAAATAAAAAATCTTGGACGCAAGGTTGACGTTGTCCACCGAACCAAGAAGAAAGAAAGCCTGGTACAAAATTTGTTCACACTTCGAAATTAATTTAAAAGAAAGTGTTTACAATAACTTAAGGCTATGAAAGTAGGTAGATGGAAAGCTGGATACTTTTAAAAATTATTCAAAGCGGCAATAGGAAGAAAATGATGACGAGGCACGTCTTGAGTGCGTCCAACCTGGCCGATACAATGAAGAAGAGAACATTAAACAATTCTTAAATTGTCAATTCGACGTGTTCTGGTCGTTATCGCTCCTTTTATGTCCTATACTCAAATGAATTACATCTACTGAATGCTGAAGACTACTAAAATGTCGCAAGATGTTATGACCACGCGTGTTTTCATAGTTTAAAAACATACGTATTTGTGTCTGTGTGAGTATGTGTGCGTGTGTGTATGTGTGTGCGTGTGTGTTTTGTGTGTGTCTGTGTGTGTGTGTGTGAGTAACAAGTTGTTATGCAAGGAAGTATTGGAATTTAATTTAATTCATCGATTGTTGAGGAATTTAACAGGGTGCGGGAAAGTTCATTTTATGATTGCCTGCGTGAGACACTGCACTATGGAAATGGGATAATGTATACTTTTGGTTTTAAATTTGAAATGATAAATACTTCATTCCATATTTGTTAATGTGTGTTCTAAAATATAATTTCAGAAATAGTGGTCTGAATTTCAATGAACTTCAAGCTAAAACGTGATTATATAACATTGAAAATTTATTGTTAAAAAGCTGACATATATAAATAAATTGCAAGCAACATTTCAATCAATTTTATCACCATAGATTTTTACAATTTATTTACAGCAGGGAATGTATATATGGAGCCATGACAACAAGAAAATTTATTTAATTTTTTTAACTTTCTCTAACATTGAACACCTTGTGATTTCACGTGAAGTTTCGAATTCAGAATCTTTTCTGGTTCCACAGAAGTTTTATGAAAGATTCTACAAGAGTTGAAAAGTTTTACAAAAGTTTAATGAAAGTTTCACAAAAGGTCCGCAAAAGGTTTTACAAAAGATGAGAAATTCCGTTTCCTGAGCAATATATCAAGAATTAAAATTTTTCAATTTTTGGTTTTATAATATTATATTCAGACATTTAGAAAACCTCAAACAAGATAAGATGTCTCCTCTATAGTGTACAAATCTTCTGTGGGACCTCAACTCAAGCGGACAGCCTGCGTGTTGTCCCTGTGGACGTTGAGGGAAGTGGAAACAATGGGGTGAGTTCAGGAAGAAGTTGATCGATGAGTGTAAACATGTGGAGTACCAAGACTGATTGAAATATTTAAAACTACATACGTTAATGTTTTTAAGATAAGGGAAGACGAAATGTGGTGACCAAAGTAGCTTCCATGGTTATTGTGGCAAAGTAACGAAAGAACACGTAGGAATTGTTTGGAATGGAAACATCATATCAAAGGAAAAATTACTATGTGAATAGAATTTTTAAATTATGAAATGAATTGAGCGATGGCGTTGTGAATGCTACAAACAACTAGAATTTTTGCATAATTTTAGCATAATGTTTAGAATAGTCCATGATTTTTAGGAACAAATAATTAGATAGTTTTTATGGTTTTTTGCTTATGAAGTCATGAATTTGTTGAAAAGGTCATGTAGAAATATTTTCCCACATTGTTTTAGCTTAATTGGTTGAAAATTTGAAACTGAAAAATAAATCGCATGTTAACAATAATTAAATTATGATTTAAAAGCTGTTTGAAAATTTTGAAAACACTTCCAAAAACTTTTCCAAATAGAGTAGCACCTGTAAGAAGTTTCGTAAGAACGACATCGTAAACACAGGCTTTCCGACGAACCGTTGCAAAAAGAAGTGAATAACACCCGTGAAAGTATATCAGTAGAAACTTAACAACTCGGCTAACTCGTTTTATAGCTTGGCACCGTTAATAAGCGAGCGATGTTTCTATAGTAGGAACCATCGTAAACTCTTTTGACACAGCACTAAAACTAATTCAACCTAATGGATGCATTGATGGTGACAATCCTCTAAACTGTTTAAATGGAATTATTTATTAAATTAGCAAAAAACTTGTTAAAATCATTTGCAACTGAAAAAACGTGAAAATTACAAAATTAAATACTGCGCTGTTTCAAAATTTGTATTTTAAACTTCAATATAATTCATAAATATTTTTTATTATTTTGTATGCAAAAATAAGAAATTTTATCTTAAAAAGTTGATGAAATAAAATTTTCTTTAAACTAATAAATGTTATAGTCATATGATGGATAGCTTCTTCAATGCTATTCTATAACTGTTATTAAACTTTCGTGCCACAAAGGCTATACTATCCCCACCACAGACGCTCATACATACATGTTATATATGCACGCGCAACCGCCGCATCGTACGAGTTTGATGGTAACTGAATTTCGCACAAACACTATTCAAGCCATGCCATCGCGTAATAACAGCAAATTTTAACACCTAACAACGTCTTTTGGTTCGTGCAGACAAGAGCTGAACACTTTTTGACAATTCAAACACCGTCAAATTCAACTGATGTTAACATTTAATAAAAAATTTAATGCGTTATCCTGGAGACTAATTAAAGTGGTTCTAAAAAGCTGATGAAACGTGTTTATTATAGCTAATCGAATCTATTTTTTGTTTGGGAAATCAATCATTTTAATAAGTTTATGATTGAGCACAATATGAATATAATTGACAATGACATCGATGTCGTTGTTGACGCCGATGATGAGACTCATGTGGCGCTGCAAGTCGTTCAACGAGGGTCTTGAGGGTCGTCCCGCTGCTGGCAGATTTCTGCTTTTTCGCTCGACGTTTTGCCTGGACTAAACAAAATTGTTCACGTCAATTGTCGTATTAGGAAAAAATGAAATAATATTTTTTAATCATTAATTTCATCAAAATTATTATAAAAAATTGTTTTACTATAGGTTATACCAAATAACAATAAGTTATATACAAATTAAAATAAATCGTTCTTACACCTGGTTCTCTGGAAACTAATTTTAAAATATATAAGAAAAATGTTCGAACGCAATTTCAATTTATTTTTAATTTCATTTTATAAGAGGCAAATCCGATATTGGAAGATTTGTTGATATGCATGCCGCTTTTGACAAACATGGCTTTCTTAACAAAACACTCTAAAATGTCTATAACCTACCTAAGCTTCAAAGTGCACGCTACGTCATTATTTAGAAAATGTGGACATTGGCCAAAATAAATTTACTTCCTATCTGTAAAATGAAGTTTTGTTAGAGCGCCTATGTCGTAAAAATTTAATTTCTACAAAACTAACGAAGAATTTCGTTCAAGAATTTGTCGTTGAATTTTTTCCAGCTGAAGTTGTGCTTCTTGAATTTTTTTCTGATGTTCCAACATTTCATTGAGAGTATCGACGCTTTCTAGTTTATTAATATTTGATTGATCATTGGTTTTTGAATTGAATTCCAAGTGACGATCGATCGTGTCCGTTGGTTCTTTCGTTGTTTTGAATTTAGGTTGCTGAACAACCCACAATTTGTTCGTGTTGTTGCTATCGTTTACACATTCGCTCGGATGAATGTCCAGACCTGTTGACAAGATTTGTTTGCTTGTCCGGTGATAAATTTTTGAGTTTTCAGTGTTCCTTTCTAGAGCATGGAATCTAAATAAAACAATTTTTATGTTATGTCTAATGATTTATTTAACATCCAACATTTACTTGTAAGCCTCTGATATTATATCTTTATTTGATTTGTCTGAAAAGAGCCAGTCGTGTACTTCGACTTGATTTGCAATGGCTTCAGGGTCCACCAATTCAAATCTTATATGAGAAAACAGCTGCCTGGCATACTGCGTTCGGTCGGCTCTGTTGAAATCGATCCACTTTATAACGGCCAATAAGATTTCTAATTCTTCTCCTGATAATGATTCGTGAGTTAGAATTTTTTTCAACCGATTGACTGGTATGTATTTAAAATGATTGTGATGCACCAGGACACTGAAATTTGACGCTATTACTTTCAGGAGGAAGTTTTTAGAATTCTTTAGCTGGTTATTTGCAGCTACTGAATAATGTAAAAATATGCTGTCCTGGTCAAAATTTTTTGTCAGGTAGATTCCGCACATATTGATAATTTCTGGCAAGTCTAGTTGTCTAGCAATGGCCACCAGACTTGCGATGTTTTTGCAATCAACTTTCAAGTTGGTCGTATAAAGAAAGTTCAAGACGTCAGCAACGGCATCTCTCGGATAGTCGGTCATGTTTATCTGCACGAAATGTGAGAGTGGGCGCTTATTTTGATTAATTAAAGTTTCCAAGGTAGGACTGTACGTTGCAAGGATGATCTGATGAGTCAGAACGTCTCCATTTTCGGTCGTAATTGCTAAGTCACACATTGTTTGACTGAGCCAATTTTTGTAATATTCTTTCATAATTTTCTTTGTTACATCGTTATGCAAAGCCTCATTATCTGGAGCTTGAAACTTGAATCTCTTGTTTAAATATGATTGTACGATTGCTTGAGAAGGACATTCAGGCTGATATCTTTCTTGTTGAAAATATAAATTTGCTTCATTCGTGTTTGAATCTACTGTTCCCCTACTTAGTACTCTTTCGATGGCGGAATTATTTACATCGCCATAATTTTCGAATGTTGATAGCACTAAGGCAGGCGGTTTGCTACCGGAAAAAAAATCATCCCCAGCTACAGTCGCTAATTTCCAATCTTCAGGGGAAATTGTTTTCACTGACGTGTTTTCAAAGTCATGTACGGCATTTTCATTTTTTGCGGGTTTCCGACCTATGCAAACATTTTTTGAGTTGACCCTTGGAACGGTATTTTTCTTTGATTTTTTATTTTCTTTATCATGACTTTGAAAATTGAAGGCATCGTTTGCACTGTTTGAGTTGAGCATGAACATGGCTTCAGGATTTTTCTTTGATTCGTTGTTTCTAATATAAGAGTTACTTTGATTTTGAATTAAACAATCGTTTGCTTTAAACATATTTGCAGATTCGCTTGGTTTTTTCGTTTCGGATGCTTTCATTTCTTATGTTTAATATAAATCGCTCTGAGAACAAATTAAATTAGTTTATATTTCATTTATAAACGTGATCACAAAGATACAATGTTTTCAATTTCAAAAATTAGTTCAAAATATATCTGTTGTTCTAAAGTACGGTATTGTTATTTGATGTAAAAGTCATTTATGAAATTGTAAAACTAACTTTGTTTAAATGTAAATAAAGAAAATAATAAACAAAATCGCATTGCGCTTTTGTACCGTTTGACGTAAATCCTTTATTGCACGTCATACTGTTTACCAAAAACAACCTAAATTCAATCGAAACATTGAGTGATTTGAGAATCACGCTACAAAAATAACTGAAAGCAGTTCCATTTTAGGATCGACAATAAATTATATTCAACTATAAATAATAAATTTACAAAAAATGTCGCGTAGTTGTTTCTATTTTTGGACTTAAGATAAAATTTTGATAGTAAAATCGTAGTAATTATAACATATTCACATTTAGTGCTCAAGCCTTAAGTAGGTAATTCTCTAATAAATATAACGAAAGGGTTAAATCAATGTACTGCGTAATTTGTAGATGCCTCAAAATTACAGAAGTTATTTTTTTAACTAACTTTTATCAAATTTTCTATATTTGCAAAATTTTACTTTTTTTACTCCGTCGTAAAGCAGTAAATTATTTTAAACGTCTTCCTCGACGCATAATAACATTTTATGAAAATCAGAATATTTAGAATCGATTCCATGAAGCAAATGTTTGAATTTATAAATTTAAGATATAAAATAAACAAAACGCAGATATTGTGAGCACGTTACGTTTTCTTTGATAGAAATAATAAAAAAATCTATTCCGCTTGTTAGAATTTCGGTTTGATAATACAGATGTACTAATAATATTATTATCGATTTCTTAAAAGAATCATGATGTTAAGATCAAAAAGTTATCTACATGTCCAACAATGGAAAAGTATATTTGTTTAATGTTCATTTTTACCACTGGCTCGAATTTTGGAAGTGTTGAGAGCATGATATCTGAAAAAATCATTCAAAAATAAATAAATTAAAAAAAAAGGTTTATTATACTCTTTTTAGGATCAGAGAAATCAACAACACACCAACACCAAGCATATGATAGACGGGAATCTTTCTGTCATAATCGAACCCGGTCACTGCACGCTCTGTAGCGCAGTGAGTGCAGTAACCTTAAGCACTAAGCCATAACGACGCCAAATTTAAAGTTTAAAAAAGCGAACTTTATTTAAAAATGATATACTTGTAGGCTTCTAAAATTATGTTTTTGCAGTTAGAATCCGTAAATATCCAATCTTGCATTTCAACATCTGACACAAGTTCTCCAGGGTCGATGAGATTGAATCGGATCATCCCCAGCAAACTCCTTGCGTGTTGGATCCTGCCTGGCCTATTACAGTTCACCCAGTTAACAACTGCTCGGAACACTTCTATTTCTTTTGCTGATAGCATGGGATGCGTGATGATTGTTAAAAATTTATCATACGGCAAGATCATGAGGTGCTCGTGTTCAATCAAGTCGTAAAAATTCAAGGCTATGAATTTTAAAATTTCGATAGCCCCGATGAAATTGTTGTTTAAAGCTACAGACAAGTGCAAAAAAGCGTTGTCGATTTCAACGGTTTGAACCAGGTAATCGTTACACAACCTGCATAAAAGCGTTAAATCTAACTGAGTTGAAACATCGGTAATGAAACCAATGTTCAAACAGTTGAGTAGGATGTCTGTCGTGTACAAGAAGTTTAAAGAATCGGCTACGGCCTCCAGGGAGCAATCTTGGATTTTTATTAAAAGTGTATTTTGAAGATTTTTTTTTGAATTTTTCAGATATGAATCAATTGTGGGACTGTAAGTCCCCAGAACAAGTTGATGACACATAATGTCGCCATCTCTGGTCCTAACGATGACGTCACACGATGTCTGATCCAAAAAATTTGTATAAATGTACTGCAAAACATCCATCGAGCATTTTTTATGAGCAGGATCATAATTATCTAACGTTCGCCGCGTCCGGAACCTATTGAGAATAGCTCCAAGGTTAGGAACGAATACCGATGCACTTCCAAGCAAATTCCCTTCTGTCGTTAGACAATTTGCATGGTATGAATTTTGCATATATGCTAAAGGAGCGGTGGCATTGTTTGGCAAACAGTAAGCTTTAGGTAAAATCATTTTTGAATTATTTAAAGAAGGTAGGTTCGAACAGAGGACACTGCCGTGTGGAGTGGTCGGGGTGTAAAATGTAGAGTTCTGTACATTCTGTTCTGACACGCACTTACTAAAATCCTGGTGATAACCGGCGACATTTGATGAATTATTCGCATCTTTAATTTCAGCTTTATTATGATTTTGTGATTCTTTGTTCTCGTCCACATTTTTATTTGCAGTTTCTTTGACAAAACTCTGGTGGCTTGTAGAAACACAAGATTGGCTCGCAGATATTCTTTCGTATGGGAGTACGGTTATTTTGTTGATCAGTTCAGTTTTCGGATGGGACGAGGTTGATCCATTGGAGGACTGTGTACACAATCTATTAGAATCAGATAGAAAATTCATATAGTACCTGCTGACATAGAAATCATTCATTAGTCGGGAATCAACTTGCTGTCTAATCAAAGAGTCACGTAACATATTTTGAAAAGTATTAATTTACGGTAGATGTTTGACGTTGAAATTAAAATGCGAGCGATTAAGATGTTTATTTCAATCGGATGGTAGCGTGGAAGTTATTGTTTACATTAACTCGGTGACGTTAATTTAATAGAAATATTTAAAAATTTAAAGAAATAGAGCATTTTATTTGAGTTAAAATGCAATAGTCAAAATACTAATATAATAATAGGATAATAATATACCGCCAAAAATTAATTCACAGATTATTCAACGTTTGTCCTAAGTTTTTTCACATAAAAGTGGGTATAAAAGCTATCCAACAGTATTAATCAATATACATTTAAAGCGAGTGATGAAATAATTCGTTTGATCATCATTTGTTGTCTTCCAACGCCCTCAACAACTGTTTTCTCCTTGACTCCAATTCGCATTCGCTAACCTCACTACCTCCGGATGACTCTTCCCAATCCTGTTCGTATAAAAAAACAATATTATATCAAAGTGAATAAAACGCAAATGAATAAATAAAATCTAACAAAGAATATTAGCCACAAAGAAAAAACAAGATGTTGATTCAAAATGCTCAGACTCGGGAAAACTAAATCGAAAATTTTAGAACCTTTTTAGGATTTATCTACGTCAGCTTCTAAACCTTAATATCATTATTTAAAAGATATGATGCAAACCTTAATTTTTATATATTTTTTCAAAAGTTTACTTTCTTGTACAAAATTTCCCTTTCTGAGTCAACAGATGTCATATTCCAAAAAAAATAAAACATCAGAATTGTTGGTCACTATTAACAGATCTATTTACAAAATATGTTCTAGCCAGACCATTTCCAGTTTGCAACCGGACCAATAATTCTGTTGCTTGAAATTGTCTAACGACATTTAGAGTTTCATTGAAAAAAGAAATGAGCTTCTTATTTTTCTAGTTGATTTATTAATAGTCGTTTAAAGCATGTTGCTATGGTCAAACTTTATTATCTATCCGCTCACAACTGATTTTCTTCGAAATCTTATTGTCTCTGGCCAATGGATGAGAAAACTGATTTAATATCACCCCAGGAAAAAACATGAGTAAGAATCGTGATATTCTTGAATACGCAAAATTTTATGTATAAAGTTTTCCTGCCTGGAAGCAATTAAGAGGTACCTGGCTGACGCTGGTGACTGTTTATGACGACACTAGTGTAGTAGCAAAACCAGCCAAAGACATCAAATAATAATTGCTTTTTAGTAAGGTCAAAAAATGTTTTAAAATGTCAACGGTTTTCACAAAGTCTAAATATTTATGTCAGCTACCGTCCAGTTTTTCCAATTTTGACTCGACCAAATTAGCTAAATCAATGTAACCGTGGTGTAGCCTACGTTATCCAAACAGGTAATTTTAGCGCAAGAAAACGGTGTACTATAAATGCTCCTTAAACTTCCAGTAAAGATAAATAAACAAAAAAAAATAATTTGGCAAAGTTAGAAGAAATTATATATATATATATTACATATATCATATATAAATATCTTTAAGATCGTTAGCTAGCACTAGCAAATCAATATATAAACTTAATGAAACTTGGCATTCAAATATTCAGGACAATTTCAAAAACTAAACCGAAAATGAAAACTTTTTATGATTCAATATGGGCAAATTTCATGATAATTCTAACTGAATAAAAAGTAGTATTTATTATTATTCATGTCAATTTCAACATCACTTATTCCTTTGTTCATCTGAATTAAAGTTAGAAATCTATCTTGTCTAATGCAAATGAATCGAAAACCAGTTGTGACATTAACAATTATTTTAAAAGAATTTAAAATAATAGATGACACAAATGAGTTCCAAATGACAAATAAAAAAGATTAAGTACATGTAACTTGTTCCTGTCATTAGTTGTTTGTTTTAAGCTATGGACAGTTGAATTGGATGGCTTCTCGGAATCATTGACCTTCTCATTTCCTATCACGGGCTTCGGTAGTTTATTCAATTAAATAAATATTAAATGAAAAAAGTTCATTACTGTTAATATGGTAATTAAATGCAATGTGTATAACTATTCGTTTAATTTATTAAGCAAATCAGACTTTCAAATCATCCTCAACTGCATAAACTAAACATATTAAGTAAAAAAAACCTGAGCAAATGTAAACAAAAAACAATGTATAAAACACATTGGCATACTGAGTGAGATGTCTGCCTCTTCTTCTTCTTCTTCTTCTTCATCTTTTTCCCAGCATCACTTTTTGCGGGAAGATCATCATCTGAAATTAATATTTCCAATCAACAAGTTTACAAATTTATTAATATGACCATTGCAATACTATCACGTTGATACGCAGCAAGTTGCAGTCTGCAACCTGCATTAAACACGATTGATTCCAAAGTATAAGACTATCACACATTTTCAACACTTGATGCGATGATGCCAAACGTAACAAAAAAATTTATGCCCCACAAAATTTTTAATCAGCCCACATAATAAACAAATTACCTGATGATACGGAGGATGGCGGGGGCGAAGGGGATGATCCTTTTGTCTTTTTGGACCGCCCATTCACTGATGAACCAATGTCCTGCAACAAATATATCAATGCAAGCGGTATGTTGATATCTAGATATCTCTTGTTTGGTTGCATGTTTTGCATTTTCACGTAATTTCACGGTTCTCCATGATAAAGTTTAAAATAATACAAAAATATTCAGAGCATAAAAAACTGGAATGAACACTATTTGAAAAGATGTACCAACCTTAGTGTCATGTGATCGAGATCGGTGTTTCGTTTTTTTGCTCGATTTTTTATGTTTTTTGTGCTTGTTGGTGCCTGTGTTACTGTTACTTGCATTGTTATTTTCAGGCGCGAGCGAGCCGACGAGTTCCTTGAACAATCTGGTTCGGTCAGATTCTAGGACAAGAGCCTTAAATGTTGGATCTTCTTCAATTCGAGGCCTGACCTGAAGCATTAAAAATTGAAATGTTTCATCACTTTTTATATATTTTAACATAAAACATTTGTCGTATATATTAGCAAATTGGTTAATGCCAACAATTTAAATTTAAATTAATTTAAATTGGTCAATGCCAATAATTCGGTAGAATTCCTGCAATATTGTATACAATATGGTCCCCTTCCGACATTTACGCGAATCTCAACAACCGACCAGTAAAACCTGACAACCGAGCAAGAACGTGAGTAGCGATTGCTTCATATTTCCCGGGAGTTAAAGGAAAAACAAAATAGTGTTCAGCATATATCAGCTACACTGAATATCTTAGTAGACGAATGAAAACTCAAGACAGAATGCTTAATACATATAAAAATACCTCAAAGCTTAAGTTTTATAAAAAGTTGACAAATCCAATTAAAACTAACAGTGCAGGATTAACGAATAGGTTTATTATTCTCAGTAAAGATACTCTCACTGAAAACAAAGAGAATTTTTAAATTTAAATAAAACAATCTGTATAGTTTGCGGAGAATCATTAGATGAAGATTGAATTCAATGCTTCAAATGCAACAATTTGTCATCGGTTATGGGGCTGTTTTTTTACATCAGAAGTCTATATAATTTTTTATTTTTTCATTCATGTTAAACAAACAAATCAATTTAAAATATTTTAATAAGTGACCGACATAATAATTGATACATTACATACAAAAAGTATTGATATAGTTGATTTTAAAACAACAGATTAATAACAAAACTTATTAAAATTGTAACATACAGCCCCGATCTCTTATATGTCGTTATGGACAGGGCTAATCAATTTGAGGGCCAAAATATTGATTATATATATATATATATATATATATATATATATATATATGTGTGTGTGTGTGTTATATGTATATATGTGGTTTGACGTAATATTTTAGTTTTGGATTGATTTTTTTTGTTTCTTTAATAACATAAATAATTTATTAAAGTAATAGTCGCCCGATTTCTTTAATATCAGTTCCGTGTAAAATAATGAAAAAAACATAGAAGATCATCTTTTCAGGAATAACATAATATTAATAGTAAGACAACAGCATGGTTTTGTTAAGGACAAATCATGCAAATCTTGAAACTCTTGATTTTATATCCTATAATTTGGATAATTTTATTCAAGTGGATGTAACCCTGCTTGATTTTGCCAAAGAATATAATACTGTTTGTTCCACACAAAAGATTATTAGCTAAATAAATGCTTATGGAAAAAATGAATTGGGGTATAAATGGATTGAATCGTTTCTTAAAAATAGAAGACAAAGAATTGTTCAAGGTGAAATTATTTCTGACTGGGCTGAATTTTTAGTGGTGTTCCTCAGGGCTCTGTTATTGGTTCTCTACTCTTCATTCTCTACATCAATGACTTACCAACTAATCTGAAAAATACAACAAAACTGTTTGTAGATAATACGAAAATCATGAGAGCAATATCATCAGATAACCATGTAGTCGAACTTCAATCTGACGTAATATGGCGTTTAAATGGACACAAAACTCGATTCTAAGGTTCAATATTGAAAAGTGTTCCCTAATGCACCACGGACCAGGTAATAAAAAATGTCCACAATATATAAATAGCACACTTCATGCTGAATCCGAATCTGAGAGAGATCTTGGACTGATTTTTTCAAGTGAAGTACATTTGGGTTATATTCAATAAGACAAGGAGACGATTAATATCACATGATAAATCCAATGTGCGATTAATACAACAACAACAACACACGTTTAGACGACATTTTCCCCGAGATCGGGGGTTGCCGTTTGGCTACCTATAATGAAACCATTGTCACTTCTGTCATCATAAGTAATTTATTTGGCTAATTTTTACGCAGGACGCCCTTCCTTACGCAACCACAGTTATAAGCGGTGGGCCTAGCCTTTGATGATCCAACATCACTCACAAGGCAGTGAGGGTCAGTTTAATGTCATAACCAGGACAGTGTCATAACCAGGACAGTGTCATAACCAGGACAGTGTCATAACCAGGACAGTGTCATAACCAGGACAGTGTCATAACCAGGACAGAAATGTGCGGTTAATAATGATATAATTTTTTAATCTATTTTATCTATACCTTAATTAACTATTTTCAATCCTATTTCAAAGAAGGATACTACTTCGAATTCGGTCATATTCACAAGCAAATATTTCTAGAAAAAAAACATGGTCGAATAGATTACATCATGTCAGCCAAGATTTTTGATCCTGTCCGATTCGCACCTCATGGCAACTCCCAATCACAGAAAAGTCAACCACAAATCTTACAAGCAGGGAAGACCTCATTCTAAGAATCGTGATTATAGAAAGCGATATGACATTAATAAATTAATTAAATTTGTTTTTCATTTGTCATGACGATCAAAAGATAACCTGTAATATTTGTTATATTTTTGACATTTGATTATTGATTATTATTGGTAAAAAGATTTATATTTGATTTTTTTTACATTACCAGCTCATTTAAAATGTAGATTAACTTTTTTTGATAAACGAAACTCAGATTATTTTTTTATTTGTAACGCGGACTCGGTGAATTATAATAATATTCACTTTGAAAGAATTTATAATATTGAACTTTATAATTTATGTTGATATTCATATTTACAGGTGATACGAAGTTCACCGGGCCAGCTAGTTAAACAAAAAATCAATAAATCAGTCAAATATTAAATTTTAAAGGATCACTTTACCGCAACATCCAATCATCGCCACAACATTACAAAATCAGATCATCACATCCTAACAACATCACATCATCACTCTAGCATCACCACAATACCATATCACTGCAAAATTATTACCGCAGTATCACATTATCACCACAAGATCATCACAACAACATCATCATATCACCATAACGCCACATCATCGTGACATCAAAAAATCATTACATCATTATCCCCTCATGGCAGCATCACCACCACATCATCATAACAACCCACCTGATCCCAAGTTGAGTTGCCATGAATTGGAGGATCGAGTGACTTCAACAAACTTTTGAACGTGGACTCGAGTTTCTTCTGCTGCAGAGACGTACATTTGCAATATTAAATGATCGTGTTTGTAATTTCAATTTAATGAGGCCAATATAATCTTATACATTTGTTTCAAGTAACCAATAATAAATTCTAACAGACGACGTTAATTTAATTTAATTTAATTTAATTTAAAGGAACATTAGATTAATTTAAATAAACAACATTAAAGTAAATCAATGTGATTCAAACAAATTGAGTTTGATTTGAATGAAAAACATTAGCTCAATTTAAATAAAATACATGAAGCTTATTGTTTAGGTGGTGATGAACATAATTTAAAGCAACCTTCTTCGACTCCTCCTTTTGCCTCTCTTTCTCCCGACTTTCTGCTTTTTCGATCAACTGCAAAATCAAGAGCACGACAGAGATTTAGTTATTAAGAACATAACGAAACAGTTAGGTGGCAAACCTCTGCATGAAAGAAGTATTCTAATAAAATCAAACTAACTTAAACCCATACTTATAAAATTGTTCCTCAAGCGCACGAACTCACATACACACACACACACACGCACAGAATATATATATATATATACGTCCTACCTCGGGAAACCGGGTCTCTGGACGCAAAACGAAGATTGATTGATTGATTAGTATATATATATATAGTATAATACATAGTATATATATATATAATTTCAAAAATTCCACACTACTTTCAACATTGTTCAACTTTTTTATATTTCTATATTTTTATATTTTTTATATTTCAAAAATATAAAAAAGTTGAACAATGTTGAAAGTAGTGTTGAATTTTTGAAATGTTGCGTTAACAACAGTCTGTTACCAAAATTTACATTAACACGCCAGACTAAATTAGAAATATAAAAAAGTTGAACAATGTTGAAAGTAGTGTTGAATTTTTGAAATGTTGCGTTAACAACAGTCTGTTACCAAAAAATATATATATATATACATATATATATATTGATCCATTTGCAACTAAGTTTTTCAATTTTTCGTATAGAGAGAAAGAGAAAAGAAGAGAAACAGACAGACAAACAGACAGAAAGATAGGTACACAGACACAAAAGAACAATAAAAATAATAAATAATAATAAAAAAAAACATTCATCATCACGAACGCTGTTGAATGTGAGCTTGATGTTGCCGGCGTCGAGCGAGAAGGTCGCCTTATCGTACATCAGCCACTTGGCAAACTCCTCAAAAGTCGTGTCCGCCTCCACCTCCAGGTTTTTCTCCTTTGCACCAATTAATCAGATGATGTCATCATATTGATATTACGTTGCTTGTCATCATCACCGACATCATCATTTATTCATCATTTCGTTATCATCACCATCATCATTTATTTTATAATCACCATCATCTCTTCATCATCATCATTTCATCCTCAATCAGCATTTTATTACAATCATCTACTTCGTCTTTAAAATCAACACTTCATCATCATCGTCGTCGTCATTATCATCACCTTGAGAATATCCTTGATGACTTTCTTCTCATCGTGGAATCGGGATTTCAGTTCTTCAACATAAAACTTAAAAAGATCCAACGGAGTTGATCCTGGTGATGATGACGATTATGATGATGATGACGAAAACTGAGGTGACTACAATGTTGATGATGATTACGATGGTTTTGGCGTTGATGATGATGTCGACATTCATGACGTTAATAACTTTGATGATGATGACGATGATGATGATGACGATGATGATGACGATGATGATGACGATGATGATGACGATGATGATGACGGTGATGATGACGATAACGATAATGATGACGATTACAAAGATGATGACGATGATGGCTATACAATGTCGATAAAGACAATTATGTCGATTACGGCAGAGATCTTAATAGAAATGATGACGACTGTAATGATGAAATTATGATGATGAAAATAATTTAATGATTAATGACTATTGAAATGATATAGAAATAAAGCTGCAGAGCTTTGCTAAACCCAACATCGTCGTCATCACAATTTGCGTTCTCGTCATCATCGTCGTCATCATCGTTGTCATCATCGTCGTCATCCTCCTCCTCATCATCATCATCATGCCACTGATATCCATATTAATATCCATACTAGCATCCCAATTAACAATAGAAGGCCAAAAGTAAAAACAAATTTTCAGCATTTAGTTGAACGTGAAGGAGAAAAATAGGATGATACATCAGCGAGACATTAATAGACCAGTAGTTATGATGATGCAGGACATGTAAGCGTGTAACCTGATTGTCCGAGCATCTGAGTGAACCTGGGATCGAGGGATATGATGCTGTACAAGTCCATCCAGAGTGACATGGAATGTAGCTTTCCTGATTCATGCAGTTCATCCAGTAACACCTGTGTTGTCGTTGTTTGTTGTATCGTTGGATTGTGTTGGGTTGTTGTAGTTGGTGTGAAGTTAATATCCCATATATTGCTTGGTGCAATCATAATAATAATTATTATTATTATCAATTCTCTTCTCATAATTCATTCTAAACCGTACATGGCGCATGAAGATACGCGCAAATAAATACACACATGGCACACATTGCACGTGACAGGTGGAGGTGTTATTGCATTCAAACCCAGCAACTATAACAACAGGACCAGGCGCCTAAACCATTACACCATCTCGCTACCCACATTGCTGTTGTAAGGTTGTTGCTGTAGTTACGTTGTAGTTGTGTTGTACATCAGACAGTAAACATTCTTGTGCTAAGGTTGTGTCAATATTGTTGTGTGTGATTGCTCTGTTGTTTTAAGGTTGTGTTTTTATAGCACTTGCCTTGTTGAATGAATTAACTTTTTAAAAAACTCAGCTGTTTGTGGTAAAAAAAAGAACATTCTGTAAGCATTCAGAAGCAAAATTGATATAGGCCTCATATTTCGTAAGCAAATACTCAAATTGTTAAATTGAAATTAGATTCGTTTGACATTTATCAGTCGACATTGTTTGGGCTCATTCTATCTGATAAATTGGTATTTGTTTTTTGATTTTTCTTTATTTGTTTGGCGAAGGGCTATGCCATTGCAACTTGAAATACTACTATTACTAATAGCAATAATAAAAATAATAATTATTATTATTAATATTATATATTTCTATTGACCGTTGCATTTTATATATCATGTATCCTTCACTATTCTTATTTTAATATTTCCTCTGAAAAACAACAATTGGGGTGAATGGTAGCAATGAAATGATGCGCATTACGCTTAAGCTTATAAGTTAGCTCTACCCGATACTTGCACATAGCACGCATGTATGCATACATACATACAGATCAAATGGACAAAGTGTTATTTGCTCCTCATAAATATACAAATACACATACACATACCCAAACATTATGCACACAGTTATACAGCATCGCACACAGTTATACAGCATCGTACGCAGTTATACATTATACATCATCATCAAACGTTATACATCATCACACACAGTTGAACAACATCGTGCGCACAGCTGTTCAACAAACCGACCAGAAATGCCTCTCTGTTCTTCCTCTGCCTCCTCTTGGTCGATTTCTTCTCTCGGTCCTTCTCATCTTCAAACTCCTGCTCCAGCATTTTAATGTGGTCCTGGAAACATATCAGTGCATCTTCCTTGTCCATGTCTGTTCAGTTCGAAATGTAAACATGTGCATGTCTATATTGAGAATGATTGTAAATAAAAACGTGAAGCACAAACAAACAGGCTGAAAATGCGTATCATATTACAAAACTTTCACAAAAAACAATGTCACTAGGAGAAATAATATACCAACATTAAATAATATAAATGAATTTGATAATCATTGATCGAAGATACATTTAATAAAGATGAAAATAAACACAAGACAAAAGGTAAGGATCAAATTAAAAGAGTCCTTGAAATGCTTTGCAACACATCCCAACACATCCCAGCACATCCCAACACATTTTACCACGTTATAACACCAAACAACAAATTAAAACATAATAACAAGTTACAGCACCGGCAGCACTTAATAACACAACCAACAACAGCACACGATAACACGAGACAACAACACAAAATAAATAAAAAATATCACCACGCACACCACGCACAACACGAGTATATCAGAGAGTGAGAATGAGGCAGGCAGATATTCAAAAGGTTACAGCTGTAAATTAATAAAATAGATAAAAAAATAATATAACATTTTTCAAAAAAAATTTTTTTGTTTCAACTAATTAATATATCTATAGAAATGAATGCTTCAATGTGGACCCATGCCAATCCCGTACCAATTCAGCCTGTACCTATCATTAATAAAATTGATTTGCTAAAACTAGATTGGAAGTTTCAAAAATGGATAAAATTGATAAAGTTAAAGCTGTGAAAGATATCAACGATGTTTATGATTTTTTAGCCGAGACAAAGTAGCGACATACGCCATTCTGAATTTGTAGAAGATTCCTTTTATAGCTTACGATAACTTGGATAAATTTATCAATAATAAACTATTTGAGGACAGATTCCACCATTAGTTATAAAAGATGTTAAATGATGATGCTGTCATCAAATTTGACAAAAAACCTAGGATAAACTAATCGGCAGTTAATTGAGCTCATTCGAGAACAGGTTTAAAACCCTTGAAACAAAACTATGAATGATATCGCTAATAAAATGTACCAGGTATTTTGTAAATTTGATTGTCTAAAAAAATCAAATTTGTCAGTATATTCTATCATTGACTTTCCATCACTGTCTAAACCAAGTAATAGTAATACTCATCTATTTTCATTCAACAACAATAATGGTAAATCGTGGGCTGATATGGTTTCCAACCCAGTTGTTCAACCATCAAATGTCTTCGTAAAAAAAGCGCTAAAAAGACATCTGGTAATGATGCAGAGTGTGCTCTTAAATCAGGGAACAGTCGAGGATCATATCCGGCAATTCAACATCAAATACATTTCGGTTTTCCCGGTTGTTAGTAAAGCAGGAACTCGTTCTGAAAATAATGGTGACTGTCACGTTGAGTTCAGAATATGCAGCATACCTCATCAAGATACAGACAAAATCTTTAATATTAATCATTTTTTTAAAATCATTCGTGGTTAGCTTCCCGTACGTCTTTTAATTTCTCGATTTAAAACTTAAAATTTCTTATTTATTCTAGTTATAGCATATTTAATTTCTACCGCAAAACTGTTAATTTGGTAAGTCACCTCTAAAAATATAAAAAATTGTTTAAATATTTTCAAACTGTTCTACTGTTTTGTTTTCCTGTCCTGTCTTATTAGTGCTTCGTCATCATGGCAAAAAATGTCTCAGCCGAAAGTTTTGAAGTTCTTGTGTCAAAAATTTTAGACAAATCAAACGAAAATTTATTGAAATGTATAGATAAATTATTAGAAAAATCAAATGACAATCTGAAAAAAATTATTGATGTTTCCAATAAAAACCTAGAAAAATTGTTTGAAAAGTCAGACCAGAATCTAATTCTAGTATTAGAAAAATGTAATGACAACCTGCGCAAAATAGTAGCCCATTCCGAGAGCCTTATGAGCAAGCTGTTTGAAACAACAATAATCAGAATGGAAGCTCTAAGTAATAGCTTCGAAAACGCCGTTAAGAGCATGTCCGATGCCGTGACTGGTAGTATGAAAGAACTTCACTCCGCTATGTCAACACTGGCCACCAGTGTTACTGATTGTCAAAAGCAGGTAACTAAACTTACTGAATCTCCCATGCTTGAGACAGTGACTAGGGCCCTTTGGTCAGTGGAGCAGGAAAAGAAAGATGATGAACGTCGGTCTAAAAATGTTATCATTTCCGGTCTCGAGTTGCAGCCAGGATGTAACGACAAAGATATGGTTTTATCGTTATGCGAGAACCACCTCACGGTCAAGCCAACAATTGCTAGAACTCGCCGTATCGGAAACCACAGGTTATGTGTCACGCTAGACAATTCATCGGCAGCTGAGGACCTGATTGCCTCATCAAGGATCCTCCGCTCTTCTTCAACAACAAAAGGTATCTTCATCAACCCTGACCTTTCCAAAAGGCAGGCCGAACAAGCCTACTTGATCAGACAGGAGAGACGTCGCATCAGAACTACCAACAACAACTCTAAAAATGCCCAGCCCTTTCTTTCAGTCTTACAACAATAAACACATTCGTATGGCCTTAGCTAATGTTCGTAGCATTCAAAAGAAGCAAAATGATCTCAATTTATTTTTGTCAGTTTACAGACCAGAAATATTTTCTGTTATAGAAACATGGCTTACTCCAAATGATCCTGACAACTTATTTTTACCTAGCGGTTATTCTTTTGTTCGCAGAGATCGTGCAACACGTGGTGGCGGCGTGGCTTTCATCATCAATGACACTATTCAATACAAGATCGTTTCAATACCATCCCAGTTCTCCCACATAGAAATAGTTTCAATTGATGTTTCCATTTCAAAGAAAAATTATCGCTTCATCTCGTACTATCGAAGTGGTGGTTTTGATAAATCAGCAGAGGAATATGCGTTAGTGCCAGGTGCATCAAAGAACTTAGCAAGGGAGATGTGATTTGCTTGTTAGGTGATTTCAATCTCCCACTAATTAATTGGAATAATTATTCTGCACCAAATAACGTCATCTACAATACTTTTATCGAACTTTTCAATGAATTAGGTCTCTACCAACTTGTCGATCAACCAACTCGTGGAAATAATATTTTAGATTTGATCCTATCTGATGATGCCAGCCTACTTGTCGAGTTAGAGATTTCCTGTCCATTTTCTTCCAGTGATCACAACTGCCTTACCTTTCAAGTTAACTGCATCACTCATAACTCAACTGACAAATTCTCTAACAATGATAACGACACTTCCTTTTATAATTACAACAGTGCAGACTTCACTAATATGAATGAATGCCTGAGGCTAATCAACTGGGACAATATTTTTCAGCACTGCTTCGACGTCAACACTTGTTGGGACATTTTTGAGCGTTTGATAAACAATCTTATGGCAACTTACATCCCTCGATCTTTTCTGAGAAGCAAAGAACACAAAATACAGGTTCCCTATCAACTTCGTCAGTCTTATAAAGTAAAACTTCACTACTGGAAAAAATGGAAACGAACTTCTTCACCGGATGATAAATAGCAGTATTTGAATATGTCACGAAAATGTTCTGGCTTAGCAAACAGTTACAGAATAGTCAATGAACATAAACTACTTTCTAAATGCAATGTCAGAAGTTTTTACCAGTATGTCAACAAAAAAATGCTATCGCGTCCCAATGTCAGTAGTTTAAAGTTAGATGACAATAGCGTGACCTATGACCCGCTGATAATGGCCAATGCATTCAACAAATATTTTTCTTCCGTATTTACACATGATAACAACTCCAATTGTTCCATACCTTGTCTAACCAACAACTTGTTAGAAGATATTTGTTTCACTCCCCATACAGTTTATACAACTCTGCGTAACCTAAAAAATTCAACCTCAGCTGGAACAGATGGTATACCGAATGTTGTCCTGAAGATGTGTGCATCTAACCTATCAGTTCCATTATGTCATATTTTTGATCTATCATTTAGAAATAACCAGCTACCAACTAAATGGAAATCTGCTATTGTTACTCCCATTCATAAAAAGGGTCCCACAAACCACCCCAGCAACTACCGACCTATTTCACTCACGAGTTCAAGTTGTAGAGCAATGGAAAAGATTATAAACAAAGTAATATTATCCTTTCTTTTAGAAAACAAACTAATTACGCATTTTCAACATGGTTTTCTACCTGGTAGATCAACCTGCACCAACTTAATGCAATTTTACAGCGACTGGATATCACTTCGTCAGAACAAAGAAGGCTGTGACACCATTTACCTCGATTTCCAAAAAGCTTTCGATTCTGTGTCACACTCGAAACTGGTCGGAAAATTGAGATCCTATGGAATATCTGGTAATCTGCTTGCCTGGCTGTCGGACTTCTTGTCTCAACGTTCCCAGCTTGTTAGAATTCAAAACAAATTATCCAATTCAGTATCGGTTACCAATGGTGTCCCCCAAGGCAGTGTCTTGGGTCCAACTCTATTCATTGTCTTCATTAACGACATTGTTGAACGCATTTCATCTATTTCAGTTTCAAGTTTGCTATTCGCTGACGATATTAAATTATACAGCCGTTCATCCAACTCAGTTCAACTTCAACAGGCCATCAACGATATAACAGCTTGGAGTATCAAATGGCAGTTGCCACTCTCTCCGAGTAAATGCTGTCATTGCTCATTTCTTCCATCTTCGAGATCAACATTAGTTCCACATCAATATTATATAGATCAACATCTTCTCAGTTGTACAAATGACTTCAGAGATCTTGGTGTGATAGTGGACAGCAAATTCAACTTTAATGCGCATATCAACAACATCACTCACAAGGCTTCTTCCCGCGCTCGCTTAATCGTCAAATGTTTCACATCTAAGAATAAGGATCTACTTGTGAAGGCTTTTTGCAGTTATGTACGTCCTCTACTTGAATACTGCTCACCGCTATGGAATCCGCACTACAAATATCAAATAACCAAGATTGAAAATGTTCAGAGAAGATTTACCAAATTCATTCCGTCAATTCGTCATCTTCCATATTTGTCTAGATTGCAAGCGGTAGGACTACAAACACTTGAGCGGCGTAGATTGGTTCTTGATTTGTCCTTGCTGTACAAAATACTACACAACCTCATCAACACAGATTTAAAAGGTTTTTTCATCCCTTCACATTATCTGTCAACTCGCGGTCACCCATGTCGACTGCAAGATTTCAACGCTGGAGACAACGTAACAAAATATTTCTACTGTATCCGGATTATCCGAGTGTGGAATGCATTGCCGGCAGACGTAGTGTCTTCAACTTCACTTGCTGTCTTCAAAAATCATTTACTCACTATTGATTTAAATAGATTTTTAATTATAATGTGATTTATTGTTAAATTACGTTTAATATTTACATATATGCCTAACTAACTCTGTTGGCTAAAACTGTCATATCATTTACCAATTATAATATCAGTACTACATTTTTTAAGTTATGAAGTCATCTTCTATGTTTGACTATAAACTTTTTCATTATTTATTACGATCATTGTGCATCAATCTCTGTTATTATCCTATGTTTTTACTTAATTCATAGACGTACGATTCATTTTTCGAACATTTTTTTTCATTTTTCTTACCGGATAAGTGGTTTTTTTTAGCCCTCTGGTTTTGTGAATAAATAAAATAAAATAAATAAATAAAAACAATTGAAATTATTTTGATGCTACTGATGTAATTGATAACCCTTCTAATATTAAGACAACAAACCCTTCTAATATTAAGACAACAACACGTTTTTGTTAGGGATAAATCATCCACAACAAATCAACTTGAAACTCTTGATTTTATTTCCTATAATTTGGATAATTCTATTCCAGTGGATGTAGTCCTGCTTGGTTTTGCCAAGGCATTTGATACTGTTCCATACAAGCGGACAATAATTATGTTTCTTAGTTATTTTGTTCAATTCATTTATTAATTTATTATTTCAGTTAAAGAATATTTTGACAAGTGAACAATCCACAAGAATTTTTTATTTTATTTTTTGGTTTTCCCATTGAAATAAATATATTTATACTTTAAATTATTACATCATGTATTTTATTCCAATTTCGTTAGTTTAATTATTTTACTTCACGATAGTTTCATTATTTCCTTGATTACAAACTAAGTAATTTTAAATTTCGTAATTGTTAAGCTCTGATGATGGCAAATATGCCAAAACAAAGTTGTTAGCTTAACAATGAGAGAAAATTTCAAAAAATATGAAGGAAAATAAATACGTAGAGCCGAGTCACTTACAAAAAAGTTGATAAACTCCAAATGGGCAACAATATTCAACAATATTTATATATATATATATATATATATATATATATATATATATATATATATATATACGTTTCGTTTGATTTTATTTGATTTGAGTGAATTTAGAGGAAAACAATTATGTAACATTTATTTCAATTAATTTTTGCAGTTAATTTTTGTTTCATTTTTCAAATTTTCTGGATTTATTTTTTTAATCATTATTATTGCAGCTCTAACATACGTAGAACCACTTACAATATTACATATATATTAATTTTTAATTTGTGTTAAATTGAATCGCTGACAGAATTAAAGTTGTAAATATTAGAGTATAGGCTTTAGAAGCTGTACCATTTCAGAAAGTTGAATTGTTTAATTTGAGTTGCTTTGTTTTGTTTTTGCAAACTGCAAACTTTCTAGAAATAACACACAGATTTTGATTGAGCTGATTTCTCTAATTTTGTCTCCTAAATTGATTAAGGCTGTCAAGTGCCTCAAGGTGGTTAAAGAAAAAGATGAAATAAAATGTTTATCACTTTTAATGTGGGGATTAAGCAATGCCTCATTGGATGTGGTTACGAATACAGAGAATTTAAAGTGGTTCTGCAACTGCTGTTTGAAGGTGCTTCTAAATGTCAAAGTGCTGGCTAATGTCGTTAAAGACAATCATGTTAGAATTGAGAAAAAAATTGATGTTCTTCAATTAATTGATTCACTTGGTTTCTATAGTGACGCTCATGCTGATGATATCCAGATCATTGCTAGTGGACCCCCCAGTGAATTTCCAGTTATGATACTGAAGATAATGATGCACGCTCTAATGTATTTAGCTGATGGATGCACTAAAGCGATGTTTTCAAAACCATACAACCATTATACTAATATATATATATATATATATATATATATATATATATATATATATATATATATATATATATATATTGAGGTTAGAGATGATCCGATGGCACCTTGGTTTGATTCTGAATGTAGACGGTCGAAGGCTTATTGTAGAAAAATGGAAAAACGATATAGAAAAACGTTGAAGGAAGAAGATAAAAAAAACTGGGTAATGGCCATGAAAGCAAAAAGTTTCATATACACTCAAAAGAAAAATCTATATTGGAAGGAGCTCGTTAAGGATAATCAAAATAATCCAAAAAAAATTTGGAGTATTATTAATAAATTGCTGTGTAAGGAAATTGGTAGTAGCAGTTTAAAAGATGCCACTGACCATACAGCTCAAAAATTTTTAACGTTTTTCAATAATAAAATAGATAAAGTTCGAGAATTGACGAAGACTGCAGATTATCCAAACTTCAATCAGTCAGAGTTCAAAGTTGAAAATGTGTTCTCTACTTTTCCAGTATGCACTGAAGATGATGTTAAAAGAATAGTTCTAAGTTCTCCATCAAAATCATGTTCGTTGGATATTTTGCCTACGCACATTTTTCAGAAACATATAAATTTGTTTACTAGGTTTTTAACCAGTTTTATTAACCTTTGTTTCAAACAAGGCAACTTTCCAAACAGACTTAAACATGCGATTGTTACACCGCTGTTAAAAAGACCAGGCATGGACATTAATGATTTAAACAACTATAGACCAGTGTCCAATCTTTCGTTTATTTCAAAAGTGATTGAGAGAATTGTTGCCAAGGAGCTGTTGACGCACATACGCCGGAACAATTTATTGCCTGTGTTTCAGTCAGGATATAGACAACATCATTCAACGGAAACGGCTTTGTTGCAGGTTTTATCGGTTTTGTTGGAAAACATCGATGTTGGAAATTCCTCCCTGCTGGTATTTTTAGATATGAGCGCAGCTTTTGACTGCGTTGATCACGATATCCTCTTAAGACGACTGGCGATCTGTTTTGGTTTATCAGGTATAGTGGAATTATGGTTTCGGTCTTATTTGTTACAACGAACGCAACAGGTGTTATTTATGGATGATTTATCGGCAATTCATTTGGTTTCAACTGGTGTGCCACAGAGCTCGGTGTTAGGACCAATATTATTTTTGTTATATACGGCTGAGATTTTTAATATACTGGATTTTCATGGATTTATGGGTCACGCTTTTGCAGACGATATTCAGATAACAGTAAATGGACCCCCAGAAAGATTCCAATCTATAGTTGATCACTTTGTCCAGTGTTTATCGGATATTAATGACTGGATGGCAACAAATCGATTGAGGCTAAATCAGAGCAAGACTCAACTGTTGCCAGTTGGTACATGGCAGCAGCTTTCTAAGATGAGTATAGATTCTGTTTTGATTGACGATTTGAATATACAATTTTGTTCCACAGCAACAAGTCTAGGTTGGATATTTGATTCCATATTGACAATGGTTGAACATATAAAATTTTTATCCAGAGTATGTACTGTTCAATTACAAAAATTGAATTTGATAAGAAGATCAATAGATAAAAAAACGGCTGAATGTTTGGTTCATGCATTCATTCACTCGAGACTCGATTACTGTAATAGTTTGTATTATGGATTGCCGGAGAAGTCAATTGCTATGATTCAGTCTATTCATAATCGTGCAGCAAAATTCGTGGTTGGTGGGGCAAAGTTTGATCATGTAACTCCTATATTTAAAGAACTGCACTGGTTGACGATTGAAAAAAGGGTGATTTTTAAAATATTTATGATCATGTTCAGATGTTTGAATGGATGCGCACCAAAATACCTCGTTGACAAATGTTTGCCACGAGTGGTTTCTACACAAACAATTCGACTTCAGTGTGATGAATTGAATTACATGATGGTTCCGCCTACCCGTTTGAAGATTGGAACAAGAAATTTTTCAGTTTGTGGACCAGCTGTGTGGAATAGCCTTCCTTTTTATTTAAGAAATCATGAATTAAATTTAATTATGTTTAATAAATTATTGAAAACTTACCTGTTTTTGTTGTAACAAACAATTTATGTTTGATTTATTGAATTTATTTATTAGATTTTATAGATGCGGTCATTCATGAATTTATTGCATTATTTATGATGGCGCCTTTGAGATAATAATTTAATTGGCGCTGTATAAATGTCCTGATAATAGTATATATATATATATATATATATATATATATATATATATATATATATATATATATATATATATATATATATATAACT